TGTCTGTTATATATTTTAGTCTATAGACGAGGAAATGGTCCGCAGTCTTAAGGACTCACTTGTCCTTCAAAGAGACGGTGTCAGTGTTTCGTAATCTTGTCTCACATTGTCTCTTGTCTTGTCAGTGTGCTGTGATCTTCTATATTGCAGCGTTATAGTTTAGCGAGTTTGTTCCTTATTGCCTTTGTGAAGGTTCAGGTTATGTCACTTCACTTTTACAAAAGACCAGCATTAGCATCGCAATAGATGCCTATAATGGAAAAAAATCTAAAAATATATATATATATATATATATATATATATATATATATATATATATTTATACACACACACACACACACACACACACACATACAGTTTGCTGTTTTTTAATCACTAAGTCATATCGACTCCTGTGGGACCTCCATGGACTGTAGCCTGTGAGGTTCCTCTGTCCATGGGATTTCCCTGGCAAGATTATTGGAGAAGGTTGACATTTTCTTCTTCAGAGGATCTTCCCAACTGAAGAATTGAACCCCTTTCTCCTGTTACAGGCAAGTTCTTTACTATGGAGCCACCAGGGATGTGTGTATATATATATATATAAATCACTTTGTTTTACATTTGAACTAACACAAATTGTAAATTGATGTAATTCAATACAAAATGGAAAAACAATGCAAAAATCCATTAGCATTTATATGATAATGAATTCATGGATTTGGGGGGGGGGGGAGAGGGTAAAAGCAACTATACTTGAGATTTCTTTCCATTAGTGAAATTAAGTGAAATCAATTTAACTAAGATAAACTTTCAGAAAGTGGGAAATACCTGCAATATTTCTCCATACACGTGGGGAATACCAGGTCAACCTACATTGTTAATAACTCATACATCAAAACTTTTCTAACTACAACACTCCAACTCATTGTACTTCTCACAGAAGTCACTCTCTAAAACCCAATGATCAACTGAAGCTATTTCTTCTATAGTTTGAACATACATTCCGAACATGGTAGTGGGGTGACAGGGTTTTTAATAACTTTTACATGACTGTCTCAAATTCAAAAGAAACAGAACCTCTTAACACATGGTCTAAGCCTAAAAGATGGTATTATCAGCACTTAATTCATTAGAATGGTCAAGTTTACAATTGCTGGTGAGAACAAAACATTTCAACAATATCTGCTCTAAATTATATTTGTTTCCATTCTTTGTGACTGTTAGAGAGGATATGAAAGTAATCCAAGGATAAGGATGGGGGAAGTCTTCAGTAAGTGTTGCTTCTATTCTAACACCAAAGGGAAGATTTGAAAAAGGAAACTGAGGTCAATGGTTGTGTCTTTGGGGCTACACTAGAGGCTTAGTGGAGGCATGAGAAGATTAATACACGTTATAAACTGTCAGCAGAAAACTCAGAAGGTATCAGAACCAACGAAAGAAGTGTAGGCTGTATGACATTCTCAGAGGATAGAGTCTTGCTGGTTTGTGAGTTTAAACCTTCTTCAGTTGTTCCTTCACACTCATCATCATAAATATCTCCTGAGGACCAACTGTCTTCTGATTGTTTGTTATTCTTATTAAAAATATAGGGAAATAGATATGCTTCTCCTAAAAGTCAACGAGATAAATAGTGTTTGAATCTGTTGTGCAAAAACAATTTGATTTAAACTGTTGAAGCTAAATTGCGAAGAATACATTTTGACATTTTTTTTTGGTAAAAGCAAAAATCCTCTTCATGTTTCCTGTGAGTGAAATTAAGTACTAAGGTAGGTCATTATAAAAGTGAAGTGACTAAGATGAACTTTCAGAAAGTTGGGGATACCTGCAATGTACCTCAATGCAGGTTGAGAATATCATGCCATCTTACATTATTATATAACTCTTTATAAATGAAAGTTTCTCTGGTTCCAATACGGCAACTGTTGTTACTTCTCACAAATATCTGTTTGCCAAAAACAGTGGCAAACTGGAGTTATTGTTTCCCTGATTTGACCACACAGTAATGCCTGAGCATAGTACTAGGGTGATTCTGTTTACTAAGTTGTGCCAGGCTGCCTCTAGGATACAAGAATAAACAGTGGAAAAAAAGAATGTCTCTTCAATAAGTGGTTCTGGGAAAAAATGGACAGCTACATGCAAAGAATGAAATTAGAAATCCTTTAACATCATACACATAAATCAACTTAAAATGAATTAAAGACCTGAATATTACACCAGACACTATATAACTCCTAGAGCAAAACATAGGCAGAATATTCTTTGATATAAATTGCAGCATTTTCTGGGATCCATCTTCTAGAGAAAGTTCAGTTCAGTCACTCAGTCTTGTCCAACTCTGTGGCCCCATGAATCACAGCACGCCAGGCCTCCCTGTCCATCACCAACTCCCGGAGTCTACCCAAACCCATGTCCACTGAGTCGGTGATGACATCCAACCATCTCATCCTCTGTCGTCCCTCCTCCTCCCACCCCAATCGTTCCCAGCATTACGGTCTTTTCGAATGAGTCAGCTCGTCACATGAGGTGGCCAAAGTATTGGAGTTTCAGCCTCAACATCAGTCTTCCAATGAACACCCAGGGCTGATCTCTTTAGGATGAACTGGTTGTATCTCACTGCAGTCCAAGGGACTCTCAAGAGTCTTCTCCAACACCACAGTTCAAAAGCATCAATTCTTCGGTGCTCAGATTTCTTCACCATCCAACTCGCACATCCATACATGATTACTGGAATAACCATATCCTTGACTGGACGGATCTTTGTTTGCAAAGTTATGTCTCTGCTTTTAAACATGCTATCTATGTTGGTCATAACTTTCCTTCTAGAGAAAGAAAAATTAACAAATGGGACCTAATTAAACTTAAAAAGATTTGGCACAACGAAAGAAACCATAAACAAAACGAAGAGAAAATCTAAAGAATGGGAGAAAATATTTGCAATTGAATTGAAAGACAAGAGATTTATCTCCAAAATACAAAAATAGGTTATGCAGGGCTCATATGTGATCACAAAGAGTTGGACACTACTGAGTGACTTTCACTTCACTACACTTCATCAGTGGCTCATTGGTAAATAATCTGACTGTAATTCAGGAAACACAGGAAATGTGGGTTCCATCCCTGGATTGAGAAGTTCCCCTGGAGAAGGGAATGATAACCCACTCCAGTATTCTTGCCTGAAGAATTCCATGTACAGAGGAGCCTGGTGGGCTATAGCCCATGGAGTAACAAAGAGTTGGATATGACTGGGCAATTAACACACACAAACACAGCACCTTGAAGAGCTAAATAGGTGTTATTTCCACAGGGCTTTCCCATTGTTATCCTATAGAGTTAGCATTTATTATTGGGGGGAAAAATGTCTCTGCGGTTAATTCACCTTAGGAAATTGAGACTTATATAATTTAACATAGACACTGTTCAGTGTCTATGGTGGGCTAGAGAGTTATGGAAACTGAGTATATAAGGTTTAATAACACCAACATCGATTGTGCCTATGTGGGACTAAAAATCCAGGGTGGGGGTGTAGGTTGGTAACAATCAAGTGAATAAATAAATGAAAAGCATGATCTTGTTAGCAATGTGTAAGATGAAGAAAGCCCTGTCTATGTAGCTTCCACATCACAGTTGTTATCTTGTTCTCTGTGCCCTGTATTGTTATGTATCTGTGACTTGGAACTACTTTTCCCACAGGCAAAAGCACAGCAGTATTCTCTATTCCTGTTCAGTTCAGTTCAGTCACTCAGTCGTGTCTGGCTCTTTGCAACCATAAGGACTGCAGATGGATTAATGTGATCTGAGTTTTTTGAATGCTGAGTTTTAAGCCAGCTTTTTCACTCTCCTCTTTCACTTTCCTCAAGAAGCTCTTTAGTTCTTCTTCACTTCCTGCCATAAGGGTGGTGTCATCTGTCTATCTGAGGTTATTGATACTTCTCCCAGAAATCTTGATTCCAGCGTGTGTTTCAATCAGCCCAGCATTTGGCATGATGTACTCTGCATATAAGTTAAATAAGCAGGGTGACAATATACAGCCTTAACCTACTCCTTTCCCAATTTGGAACCAGTGCATTGTTCCATGTCCAATTATAACTGTTGCTTCTTATCTGCATACAGATTTCTCAAGACGCAGGTAAGGCAGTTTGGTATTTCCGTTTCTTTAAGAATTTTCCACAGTTTGTTGTGATCCATGCAATTAAAGGCTTTAGCATAGTCAATGAAGCAAAAGTAGATGATTTTCTGGAATTCTTTGGAACCTAACCATATGCTTTTTTTGTTTCAATTTATAAAAGGTGTTTATTCTTCTTGTTTCAAATGGTTCCTCAAATCTTGCTATGGAGATTAAAACATTTCTATTATATACAAGAAAAGTGTGAACCATGAGGATATTTAAGAAGAGATAGTTAAGGCTAATTTAAAACTTCATGTATAATGTTTGTGCCAAAAAATAATTGTAGATAGAATGTGAATTATTCATTCCTCCTACTGTGAGTGTCTCTCTTTTGATTTTGATGATTTCATAGTGCAAAAAAAAAAAAAAATCAGCTGTGATTCCTTCACGAAACTGCCCCTTCCCTTGGTATCTATCAAACAATTTTTATCCCTTATTTGCTTTACCACAATCTAAGCAAAAATATAAAAAGTTCAGAGATCAATGGTCTATAGAAAAGTCAATTTTTTCCAAGTAGGATATATGGAAAACTTAGTAAAGTAGCAGTTACAGTTAAGAATAATAAACTATACAATCATCAAACTAATGGCTTACATTTTCTTTATTATCTATCCTGTGGCTATGAACATTAATATTAAAGTTTGTGTGTGTGTGTTAGTCTCTAGAAAGTATATTAAAACTTACAAAAATGCCTAAGATATGTCAAGCCAATACTAAATTATCAACAAATATTAGTTTCAGAGGCTTTTTTTCTGTCAATGTTCTGCAAAGTATTTTATTTTCTATCATAATTTACAATAGGTTCAAGGTTATCAATGCATATAAATCATCCTCTAATTGGCATCATGAACACCTACACTACTCTCCTCTTCAACAAACTCCTCACAGCATTTTTCACCTCTGTGTTTCTCACTGTGTAAATGATAGGATTTAACATGGGAGTGAGGATCGCAAAGAACACACTCACCAACTTGTCTTCAGGATAACTGATCACCGGACGGGTATAAGTGAATATACAAGGGATAAAATAGAGCACCACTACTGTAAAGTGGGAGCCACATGTAGAGAGGGCTTTGCGCCGTCCTTCAGAACCTTGGGATTTCAGGGAGCTCAGGATGACTATGTAGGAGATGAGCAGCATTAAAAAAATAAGTAAACACATGCCCCCACTGTTAGTGGCCACTACCATTCCCAGCCTGTAAGTGTTGCTGCAGGCAATTTCCAACAGTGAAAAGAAATCACACATGAAGTGGTTAATAATATTGGGGCCACAGAAGGTCAAGTCCATAGTGAATAACATCTGCACGGTGGCATGTAAGATCCCTCCGATCCAGGCCACCACCACCAGGAGCTGGCAGAGCCCCTGTCGCATGATGGCCGTGTAGTGCAGAGGCTTGCAGATGGCCACATAGCGGTCATAGGCCATGGACATGAGAACAATGACCTCTGATGCTGCCAGGAAGTGCTCCAGAAAGAGCTGAGTCAGGCAGCCACCCCAGGAGAGGGTTCTCCTCTGGTACAGCAGGTCAATGATCATTTTGGGGGTGGTGACAGAGCTGAAGATGCCATCTATGAAAGACAAGTGAGTGAGAAAGAAGTACATGGGGGCAGAAAGTGTGGGACTGAGGGAGATGGTGATGATAATGAATAGATTGGCCAGCACAGTGAACAAGAAAATGAACAAAAAGACAACAAAGAGTATTTTCTTCAAGTGTGGATTCTGTGTGAGACCCAAGAGAACAAATTCAGTCACATTGTTCGGAGCCATGAGATTCATTTACGAGCTCCCACCTTCCTGGGGCCTGAATTGCCTATAAAGATAAAGAACTATACTTGTTAATCAGGAAAGAGTTATTGTCTGAATGTCTTAGAACAAAAACCGAGCAGTTATGGTGATTGGGGAGCATGTCCTTGGTACTTTTGCCCTGTAGTTGATTTAATGTTTTTGTTTTTCTTTTAATTCTTCCTCAATGATGCTTTCTGCCTCTTCAGACATCTAGTCTCTCTCACTTGTAGACACCTATCAGTCAACTTTTAATTTACCAATAAAACATTGGGCTATCTACATGGGCTCTGGATTCTTCTCCTGGCTCCAATTCCATGTGAGTCTGATAAGTCATCTTAGTGCTCTGTACATTTACAATTTACAATTATCAGATTAATCCTGTAAGGCTAGAGTTACCCCTCAGATGTAAGAGTTATTCCCTCTTCCATTAGAATTAGCATCTGAATCCTCAACTCTTACTGTAGAAAGACATCATCAATAAATATCCATCATAAGCAGGCATGTTAAGGATTATATATATATATATATATATATATATATATACAATATATATATATATACAATATATATATATATATGCACAAACATATATAAAAGTCTTTGGCAACACATCCTCTCCAGTACCTATCAGAACACATATAACATTCAACTGTGTTTCCTCACTTATCGTAGTACTCGGCATAATATCTGTAGTGCTTGAAACCTATTGAAGTGAAGTGAAGTGAAGTCGCTCAGTCGTGTCCGACTCTTTGTGACCCCATGGACTGTAGCCCACCAGGCTCCTCCATCCATGGGATTCTCCTGGCAAGAGTACTGGAGTGGGTTGCCCATTTCCTTCTCCAGTGGATCTTCCCGACTCAGGGATTGAACCCAGGTCTCCCGCATTGTAGGCAGACGCTTTACTGTCTGAGCCACCAGGGAAGCTGAGTCTGAATGCTTGGTGAATTGCCATTTTCCATGGATAAGCATACAACTGCCTGTCCTGACCATAAACTTAGGAGAAATTTAAGTGTTCTCATTCTCCTGCTTTGTTTATTGTTACTTGATGAGAAACAAGCTTTTGAAGGAAGTTGCGTTCCAATTTAATAATTTCTAATACTCTTTCTGGGGTGAATGTGAAAATATTCTTTCCTCTAAGAAAGAGAATCTTACTGAGTAATTTTACTTTCAAGATGATTATGGCATTTATTAATTGAGTTTTTACTCTTTAAAACTTTTATCCTCATATAATTTAACATTGTTATATTGTTGTAAAAATATAAAGTAAATTACAGATTCAGTAGGCATGGATAAAAAAAACTCTTGCATAGATGTTCAATACATAAGGATCTGTTAGGGTAAAGAAATCCTTATTTTCAAAGTTTTAAAATGAAAATTTCGATATGGAGAACTAACTGCAATAGCTTGCCAGGTAAGATAAAGAGATAGATGGTGCACTATACATATATACACAGACTAACACAAGTATATCAAATTTGTTGCATACTAATAAATACTTATTGCAAGTTAATTCATTCAACAAATACCATTTCAGCCACTAGGAAAACCCCCAACAGATATTTATGGGATACTTAATCTGTATTTTAATGTATGTATGTTTACACAGAGTCATAAAAAGAATCCTTGTTAATTGCCCATAATGCCTGATATTTCATTACCAAACAACAGCAACTCATCCCACCATGATAGGAATGACCTTCCCACTCCTTTATGTTTTTACCAAATTCATTCCTATGCCTTCTTCTCCAATCTTTCCATACTAGCTTCATTCCTGTTTCAAGGATACTACATTACCAACAGAATGAAAAATTGGGGATATACATTTCCCAAAGAAAAGAGAAGAGAAACCATAAATATAATACAATATATTCTGGAAAAAAATTATTTCCCTTTCACGGATAAAGAATTTTATTTTTAAATTATCCAAAATGAGAACTTTATACTTAAGTGGAAACAAAACACTGTAGCTTCATTATATTCCCTTATTTTGAATTGGGATCCCAGAAATGATCAGACAAGATAATAGTGTATCAATACATAAAGCAGAATTAGACATAGTTATGTGTAACTAAGTGTTTTAGAAATAACTCTGAAGAAATAAAAATTACTTTTCCATTTTTTTGGCTCCACAATATTCTTCCTAAGAATAAATTCTAATGGAAAATATTTTTGAAAGGGAAAATTCATTATTTACATTTATTAAGAGCTGTGAAAAATTTAGCTGTGTTAGTGGAATGATTATCATTGGAGAAATGGTATTTTAAAAAGTCATGCAATATATTTGGAAAATTTTGATGTATCATTAGTGGGGAAATTTTGGATGCAAAGTTGAAATATAAAATTACTCTAACTAATTATTCTTTTAAGTAATACAAATATGTATAACTGAGAATAAATACACAATTTTACTTCTAAGTTGGTAGCATTGTAGTTGAACCTAACGTTCTGAATTTTTACTGAAGAAAGGATTTAAATCTCACATCAGTGAGGATGAGGGATGATTATATAATTTGTAAGATCATTTTTAAAATTGAGGGTCTATGATTATACTATTTCATGGAAAAAAAAAAAATCTCACATATGAACGTGTCTGACAAATGTCCATGACCAGGGCTTCGGGCAACTGTTAGTTCACAAAAATTAGGTAAGTTGTAAAGTTAAAATGTCAACTAGCTCAGCAACAGAAAGTGTCTTTGTTGATTTATAAATAGTATCTTTGCATAAGGTCTTCCTTTTGAGTCTTAAAGGTGCAACAGTTGTCCTATTTGTAGGCAAAATCTGTAAAGTTTCTTAACTGTGGCTAATTGGACCCCAAGGGTATTTCACCATCATTAACAAACTTTGCCAGCAACCCAATTATTTCACTTAACTGAACTTTAGAAGATAACTTTTATAGCACTCATCTTTAATTTTAATATCCTCCTTAGGTTTACATAAAGACAAAATGCTATGACAAAAAGTCAAGTAGAGCACTTCAGAATTCAGGCATTTAATTTAAAAATCAGTGAAATACAGAGTCTGAATATTGGTTATTATTTATCTTAAGTGCTTAGGTGGGTAACTATCTGATTAGTTTTTATTGTATTTTATTTTAAATTTATCTATAATTTGCTCTAATCATATTTCTTAAATATTATTTTCAGATTTACACTAAGTGATATTATGAACCCTGTATATTACTAATATTGCACTTTACACTTGATAAAGTTTACAGTAGTTTTTCAAAGTAGTTATAACTTGTGTCAATTTTGGATTTAACATAAAAAACCATGAAAATAATTCCACTCTTTAGTTATATTCAAAGATGGAAAAATGCATTTATTTATCATTTTAAATTAATCTCTATTGAATAAAAAGGTAGGCAATAATATTCACAGTTAAAAGCAAGAGACTATGACAGGAAATAAAAATGTCATTTGCCAAGGGAAAATACATAAATCCTGGACCAAGACTCTGATCTCCAAATTATTATTTATAACTAGTATGTAATGATACTCTTATGCTGCCATCAGCTGTAAAACCTATTGCATTTATCTACTAAAAGAAATAAATATTATTATTTGAAATTATACTGTAAATAAATTTCATTCAATTCAACACAGGAATGTAGAATGTAGAACACTCACTCAACATGTACAAATATGGTTGCATTAATAAGAAGAAATTTGCACATAACTCTGGATTAGCTCCAGAGAATGTGTCACTGTAAGCATGATGCATCATGAAAGAAAAGATTTAAGAAAACTAAAACCACATGACTGAATCTAGCTTGACTGGGTGTATAGAGCAGTAATTGTGATGACAGATGCCAAAGACACTCTGAATGAGGATTTGAACTATAAGGGATGTTGCTGAAGTGTCATCATGAAAATGGCTTTAAACATTTTTTCAACTCTAGAATGAAAGGCAGAGTCAGATCAGAGAATCATCATGTATTGACAAAGTCATCATTCAAAACCTCATAAAAGATTGAAATCCATTCAAAATGGCTCATAAAGACTCTGGTTAAATAGCTACCATGCTGGATAGAGAGATTACTTTAGAATCCATACACCAGTCTAGCACATCACCCAAATCCCCAGAGTAGCACCAAATAGGAAGAAAGTAAACTTAGATCTAAATAAGTGAAGGTTACCATGAAAATAACTTTTCAAAAGAGGAGTTCCTGAAATTATAGGAAAGTCCATTTCCAGGAAAGCCTGTATCCAGAATACCAATCCAAGGATGGAGTGGTTTAAAACCCTGGAAGGACAGCAACATAGAATCTCAAACTTGAACAGTAAATCTGAATGAAAACAGGAGAAATTATATATGGATCTCTTTATAGTTGATCAGGAACTAATCAATAGTTGAGGTGTGGTCTGACCTACGACAGTTTCATGGACCAATTTCACAAAACCTGGTACTGCCAAAGTGTTCTGATGGCAGCTTCGTGAGCTTCAATAGGTAGAGGGACATATTTTCAAGATAACAAAGCACTCACACACCCATACTGTCTTAGTCTAATCCAAGGAAGCTTTCATCACAGGAGCACATCTCCTACGTTGTTTACCAGATATGGAAAAGTCCTGAGAAGTGGGCTGTGTTTTCATAGCTCTTCCAATTTTACTTCTAATAGAAGTAGAAGAAAATCTATTAATATTTATGGAAATAAACATTTTATCTTGAGCCAGAATCTCAAAACTTGTAAACATCTTCTAATTTGCCTAAGTAAATTACCTGTAGAATTAGGGGAAACTGCTCAAGGTTATAAAAGAAGATGATGGCATGGTGTGGAATAAAAATCATGCCTCCCCACAGACATAGAGAAGAGACTTGTGGACACTCTGGGGGAGGGAGAGGGCAAAAGGAATTGAGAGAATAGTATTGAAATATACACATTACCATGTGTAGAATAGATTGCTGGTAGGAAGTTGCTGTATATAACACAGGGAGTTCAGCCTGGTGCTCTATGATGACTTAGGGGGGTGCTTTGTTTCTATATATCCCTTATGAGTGATCTACTAAACCAGGTTTCAAAGAGGATTCCAGATTCAAGGAACTTAAGTATAAAGCCAACTTTGTAGTAGGGAAATTGTTCTACAAATATGTTTTACTGTGTGCTTTTGATTAAAAAAAGAACGCATTTAATTGTTACTAATAATTGTTAGTATAATAATATTTCATTTCCTATGGCATATAATCACAACTGTTTTCATATATCATACAGTAATCAAATATTAGCAATAAGGAATTCTGGGTAATGTAAAGATCACAGGATGTGAAGTAAAAGTATTTGGATTAAAAGCTGATTTATGTATTCTATGATCTAATGATTTAATCTTTCAGATCTTCAATTTTTTTTCTTCAAATGAGAGCACTAAATTTCAATTTTATATTTCTGTTGAGACCATTTGAGAACAGTTTAAAATTTTCATATTAGTTTAAATACTAAACTAAATTTTATAATCACTGAAAACTTTTACTGGAAAGAACAAGAAATCAAATATAATTTTAAATATTAGATATATTAAGTGTATGTCAAAGGAGCATTGGCAAGTATCATCTTTCTACTTTATATTCCATACCATTCTAGATACCAGTAGGCCAAACAGTTTTCTGAGTACCAATCACTTATGCATGCAGGTAGATTATATAAAAATGTAGTTAGAAAGGAAAATTTTCAACCACTACAAATCAAGGGACTTGGTTCTGATGAAATGCTGTCTTTTCTCTGATACCTTTTGAAATAGTTGAAATACTATCAAATTTGAATTTAGAAGTATTCAGGTCTGAATACTAGTTCTGTCTCTGATATCAGATGGTTTATTTAACTTTCTTGAAGTTCATTGTTATTCTTCTGTGAAATGGGAATAATTGTAATAATACCTTGCACAGGTGTATAAGTGTCCAGTTAGAGGTATGGGAAGGGCTTTATAGTAGTAATATATGAAAATGTAAAAGTCAAGATAGAAATAAAATATCATGTTGAGTCATTTATTTTCTGAAATTGTATTCCTGCTTAATAGCATTCTAATGGCATTTTTGACCTCTGTATTCCTTGCTGTGCAGATAAAAGGGTTTAACATGGGAGTAATAAGAGTATAGAACACTGCTATGGCTTTATCCATGGGAAGAGTAGCTACTGGTCGCAGATACATAAATATACAGGGCACAAAGAAGAAGACAACAACTGTGATGTGGGAGCTACAGGTAGACAGGGCTCTTTTCCTCCCTGCAGAGCTGTGAGTCCTCATGGAGCAAAGGATGAACAGATAGGATACCAACAACGTTACAAAAGTGATCACAGGGATTACCCCACCATTGACAGCAACCAAGAGACCAGCAAGGAAAGTGTCAGTGCAGGCAAGTTGTATCAAGGGGAATATATCACACGTGAAGTGATCCATTATGTTGGGACCACAGAATGGGAGCCAGAAAGTGACTAGGATCTGTCCAAATGAGTGGAGAAAACCCACTGCCCAACACACCCCCACCAGGAGGCAGCATGTGTGGTGGTCCATGATGGTCACATAGTGCAGAGGTCTGCAGATGGCCACATAGCGGTCAAAGGCCATGACCACAAGGAGGACAATCTCTGAAGCTCCCAAGAAATGTTCAGTGAAGAGTTGTATCATGCAGGCACTGAAGGAGACAGCCTTTGATTCAGAGAGCAAATCGGCTAGCATTTTAGGGATTATGGAAGAGGAATAGCAGGCATCTATGAAGGACAAGAAGGCCAGGAAGAAATACATCGGGGAGTCCAAAGTCTGGCTGCAGATTATAGTAACCACAATGAACAGGTTGCAGTGACAATGACAGTGTAAGTAAGAAGTAACACCAAAAATAGAACTCTCTGCATCTGAGGATTCTGTGTAAGTCCCATTAGAATGAATTCAGTTATATTCATCTTGTTTTCTTTTATTGTAATTCTGAAGATGAATTTAAAAGTGGAGAATTAACCTGCAAAAACCACAGTATCCATAGCAATATGATGAGAAGTTAATATTTTGGGCTTTCAGGTAAGTCCAAAATATTTTATAATAGAAACTATTTTTTTTTCCATAGTGAAAGAGAAGAAACATGCTACATTTTCTGTTTTATAAAGAAAGTGAAATTTTGCAGCTGTTTAATTCAGTTTATTACAAGGATGCTCAAAACCTTGTTGCACACCTTCTGACAAGCGGTCCTTCAGTCTTTGTTGGAGGACATCCAGGCATAGGGAGCTCACCAGGCCTTAAATCTGATTGCTTCTCAGCCAATAAGAAAAGTTAAAAATATTATTAAATATTAAAAATATACTTGTACAATTATTGCTTCTGGTTCTGCACATTAAATCTAATCTACCCCCATTTTTCATTTAAAACCCACTTCAATTAATTTAAGGTAAAATGTTTGTATTTGTCTTCTCCACCTCTTTACCTCCATTACTTGGTTCAGTGTCTGACATAGTGTTGTTCCATAAAATTAAGTGAATAAACGCATGGGAAGACTCTCATCTGGCTTTTGTTTTGTGTTTTCTTTTGTTCAAGCCAACTGCAAAAATAGTACTTACTGTCTTAACAGCAACAACAAAACTGAAAAATGGTTGGAATGATAAATTCCTCTCACCCAGTGATTTCTCTCCCTCTCTCCACCCTGAGCGGTTTTCTTTCCTTGTCTGCATCAACCATCTCCCCTACCTTCTAGCCAAGGAGTTCAGGGGAGAATAAAAGGAGAAATGTCATGGTGCTCACTGTCCAGGTTCCCTTTATGGTCTGTCAGTGGCTGGGTGACTTTAACTGAGGCTGCATCCATTTGGATGGAACTTCTGGGTTTCTGAGATCTCTGTCTTCCAAGCTCTCCAGGTCCAATTATGGTGATGCTTCCTGCTCTTACTAGTCCGGGATTACTTTATAATCTCATTAATTTTCCTCAGCTTCCTCCATACCTTGAAAAGTCAATATGTTCAACTTGTTTTAATCGCCCATTTTATGTATGCCATTTCTTGTTAAAGGATGTGGAAATTTTATGTTTTTTTAAGCACAGAAAAGTAAGTGTGAAAACACTTTTCTCTGTATAAATCTGTTTTATTCATAAGGCATCAGTCCCTGTTTTATAAAAAGCTGATAAAAAATTTAACTTTTTCAGAAAAATACATTGTGAAAGACTAATATGTAACAAAAATAAAGATGTGTGTGTTATCAGTAGCATTCCATTTGGAGTAATAATTATATGGGATTTATATCTTTTACTGACATTAAGCTATTTTACAGTTTTTGAGGTAACAGACAACTGAAAAGAATGGAAGTAATTATTTTCCATAAATATGGAAATATTGTCAGAAGCAAATTTGATTGATTTCCCTCATCATTAGAGATAAAACAAATCTTGCATTTATTTATAAAGTCATTACATATCTCTGATTGAACAATTTAAAAATGGTACACTGAATTTTCCTTTTGACTGTGATTATATCCTACTAATTCTCTCATTAATCAATGAGCTAAATAAAATTTCTGTTATGTGTTCTTTTTATGTTTTATGAAAGTCTGATTTCACTTTTCAAAAAAGTCTTTTTCCTCTGGATATTACAATGAGAATTGGAAAAATTTCTACCATATCAGGAAACAAGGGTGTCACAGCCCTCAGCAATTGCAGCCCTCCAATGTGAGATAGAAAAGGTCAGTTTTCATTCCAATCCCAAAGAAAGGCAATAGCAAATAGTGCTCAAGGTACCATAGAGTTGTCCTCATTTCACATGCTATCAAGTTAATGCTCAAAATCTTTCAAGCTGGCTTCAGAATTACTTCAACCAAGAACTTCTAGATATATAAGCTGGATTTAGAAAAGACAGAGGAACCAGAGATCAAATTGCCAACATCTGTTGGATCATAGAGAAAGCAAGGGAATTTCAGAAAAACATCTACTTCTGTTTCATGCATTACACAAAAGCCTTTGACTGTGTGGACCACAACAAACTGTGGAAAATTCTTAAAAAATGGGAACACCAGACTATGTGTGTGACCTGCCTCCTGAAAAACCTGTATGCAGGTCAAGAAACAACAGTTAAAACCAGATATGGAAAAAACGACTGGTTCAAAATTGGGAAAGGAATATGAAAAAGCTGTATATTGTCACCCTGCTTACTTAAATTCTATGCAAAGTACATCATATGAAATGCCAGGCTGGATGAATCACAGGCTGAAATCAAGATTGCCAGAAGTATCAACAACCTCAGATATGCAGATGATAACACTCTAGTGGGAAAAAGCAAAGCAAAAAGGAACTAAGGAGCCTCTTGATGAAGGTGAAAGAGGAGAGTGATTAAACTGGTTAAAACTCAGCATTCCAAAAACTCAGACATCAAGTTCCATCACATCATGGCAAATAGATGGGGAGAACTGGAAACAGTGGCAGACTTTATTTTCTTTGGCTCCTAAATCACTGCAGTCATTGACTACAGCCACAAAATTAAAAGATGGTTGCTCCTGGAAGAAAAGCTGAGACAAACCTAGACAGTGTATTAAAAAGCAGAGATATCACTTTACTGACAATGATCCATATAGTCAAAGCCATGGTTTTTCCAGTGGTCATGTACAGATGTGAGAGTTGGACCATTAAGAAGACTAAGCAGTGAAGAATTAATGCTTTTGCACAGTAGTGTTGGAGAAGACTCTTGGGACCCTCTTGGACTGCAAGGAGATCAATTTATCAACCCTAAGGGATGTCAACCCTGAATATTCATCATAAAGACTGATGCTTAAACTGAAGCTCTAATACTTTGGCCACCTGATGTGAAGAACTGACTCACCGGAAAAGACCCTGATACTGGGAAAGACTGAGGGCAGAAGGAGAAGGGAATGACAGAGAATGAGATAGTTGGATGGCATCGCCAACTCAGTGGATATGAGTCTGAGCAAAGACCAGAAGATAGCGAAGGACAGGGAGGCTAGGCATGCTGCAGTCCACAGGGTCACAAAGAATCAGACAGGACTTAGGACTGAACAAAAACAATGTGAGCTTGTGAGACCTGAAGAAATTCTGGAAGAAAATAATACCTACCCTTTTAGGACCCTTAGAGGACAGCCACTTCCTAAGGTAAAAGAAGCTCCTGATGTGAAAACACAGATAACTGGATCCAGATAGCTGAGGTGTGTATCACAGGAGTGATTTCAGTGAATCCAGACTCTTGCACCTTCCCATACATAGAACAGAGCTAAATTCCTTAACATATCTGGTTTCTTTAATTAACAGTAATCTTTTGATGATCCCAACTACCTGCCCAGTGTTGCAAAGCTCCTATAAAGCCTACCCCTCCCTTGCTTCCGCAGAGAAGTTTCACAGGGCTCTCTGAAACATAGTCTCCTGGGCTGCAGTCCTCATTTAGGCCCAAATAAAACCTTACTAGCAACACTTACATGAAAATTTTTTCAGCAATAATAATGACATTTTAGAGAAATAAGCTAAAATACTCATAAAAGTCTATGTAGTTTTACCTTGTGGGTTATTTCATCATATATTTTCTGGTTTATTTTTTTTTTTTGATTCATTTCTATATAGCCAGTTTGTAGAAATCTCCTTCAAAGCTTGCTTTGAAGTAAAATGGTCCAACAACTCTTTCTCATCTCTGTGTATATTTCTGTGGTATCCAAAATATTACAAGTTCTAAGATGATAAAGGACTAAGGAAATGAAGCCTATTTTCCTCTTGAGAGATGTTATTACTGGGTAAATTGCAAAGTTCTTCCTGAAGGTTAGCAATTATTAATATAACTAATGATCAAAACCTAATATTGCTTCATATATGCTAGGCACTGTGTGAAGAATTTTATAAATTATCTCATTTAAGAATTTTTTTGAGAACATTATATGTGGTTGGAAGATAGAAAAACTGAAACATGGAGAAGTTCAGCATTGTACTCTAGGACATGTAATTACTGAGAAGCAACCCTGAAAATATATTTCAAAACTCTCTGATCTCAAGTCTTGATCTTGATCTTGAGCCCACATTACTTCCCATGTAAGAACTCACCAAATATTTAGCAGGAGACTTCTTTAACATCCATCTTTCAACAAAGGCTTTCAGAAGACTATTTTTCAGCCTAATTTGTGGAAACATTAAAAAAAGAATTCAAAAAACCCTTGGCGATTTCAAAGATGTCAACTTCTTCCACTGAGAATTGTCCATCTCCTCTCGCAGGAAACTTTCTAATTATACAGGCATTTTATTTATTTATTTAGTCAGTTAAATAGCATGTAATCAACCCTGCCCATATATCATCTGCCCTAAATTTCTTATTTAGAAAATTATCCTACATTGAGCATTTATTTTTCGTAATCATCACTCAAATTGAAAATAACTCAGAAATAAATACATAATTCCTAACTCATAGATAGAAAGCTGAGAGTTAGAATATTTATTTCACTTGTCTAGGATGACATAATCAGTAAGTAAAGGCTGCTTCTGCTGTTTCAGTTCCAAGCTGAATTTAAGAGCTCTCTAAAATCAGAAGCTTCTGGGAAATGTTGGACTTGTTTCACCATAAACTGAATAATTATCTTGGATTTCATATTATATTATTAATGAGATTTTTGAGAATTCAAGTGTATAGAGGCCAGCATTAGGTCCACAAATAAATAAGCAATTAACAAAATAT